AAGCCTCTTTCAGTTCAGTATTTTCAAGCCATTTATTAAAATACAGCTCAATAATCCTAGTTCGTTTAGGATTACACACACTCCCTCAGTGTCATCTCTGTCCGTCTGATTAATCACTAACCTGTTGAACCCATGACCGCTGAAATACTTTACTCCTATTAATAGATTTCAAGTTGTCTCTTTGGAGACCTGAAGGATGTTACCATACAAGAGTCAATATGGTCCTCAGAATAACTTTACTTCCAAAACAAGGGGAGGCACTATAAAGCCTATGAAGCATTCCCTAAAACCCCTTTTTTTTCTCATAATATCATCAAAAAGAATCTGAAGATAGTAATAAAACTAACCAGTGACATAGAAAAATGCATTTGTTTGAATACTTCATTCTCCAGTTTTCATTAATAACATATTTTGTTACCTTATGTTATGATGATAATAGCAATAGATACACTAGATATGGTTCTGCTTTTAACCCTGCATAAATGTTAGCAGTGTTATTTTTAGCATTCAATTTTAATGGATAAGATGTTATTATTTTGGTTCTTGATTTGTGTATTTTTCTTCTGAGGGTTTAGTTGGTTTAGTAGGAAATTGTCGTTTATTTTTAAACTTGGAATCTTTTATGAGGGTTGTGATTTGGCTTTACTAATGGTGGTTTCATAAGCAGCAGTTTTCATTGCATTTCTAGTCTTCTCATTTCATCATTGGACAACCCCTTTATCCTGTCATAATTTTCTTTTACTATTCAAATCCTTGGGTACTGAAATATCTAAATGGAAAAACTTTCTTGTGAGATAAATACTATGTGTAATAATTATTCCTGGTTGTGTGGCTGAAGAGTGCTGGCAACAGAAGGTTACCTCATGTGTAATTATGACTAATGCAGTCTTACGCAGTCTGAATCATATGCTTCAAATTTCACAGAGTTCCATAGAAAGTTTAACATGCCTCAAAGGAGAGTAATTTGAGAAACAATATTTTTTGCATTTTCACTTCTTGCTAAGAAAGAATGGGTGCCCATTTCCCATTTCTCCAGAACATTGGTTTTCATTTATAATTTAAATAATTTCCTTTGTACTGTGAATGTCATTTTCAATCAAATTGATTCATAATGCATCATTGTTCTGTAGAACAAATGGACCAGTAAAAGGCTTTTCAACTTTTTTGAAAATCATTCATAAGCAAATTTAAGAATCCTGAAACTTTTACAAGCAGCATGGGATTTGTAAACACAAAAAGCAAAGCATGGATCTGTGTATTTATTTATTTAAGGATGCCTTGACTTTCAAATAAAAAAGTCAGATAAGAGTAATTTTTATATTCCACCTGTAATGGTTCTGTGGCTCTTGTGTCAATTAATGAGCCCTGTAAGTCAAATATTGTACTTTACAACATATTGTCCTATTTTAGTCATCTAGTGTGCTGTGTGCAATCTCAATAAGTCTTCTAAATGTGCAAGAAAGCTTGCACTAGAAAATATTAAGCAATTCTATGTTATTTTCATTTTGTCAAAATATGCTCAGACAGCAGGTCATCTGAAAATATTGATCTGTTGCAACAACATGCTATAATTGTTTCTCTAGGTTTTTAATTTTTATTTGCATTTTTCCTTTCTGTTAAAATAGTGAGCACTATATCCATATTGCAAACGTTGCCTCTCCACCTGACTATGTTAAGGACAATTCCTTTCTAAATTTTAGAACACAGGAAGTCACAGACTTTTACTTTCTCAAGTAATGCAGACACCTCTGACTCGTGTCTTGTGTTCATATGGGATTTTGTCTTCTACCCAAAATAAATAGTATTTTTCTTTAAAATAAAATTTTATGTGGGGAGGAGAGGGACTAAAACTGTACAAACGATGTTATTTAACTAGAAAATGTAAATAAGAACAGCAGAATCTGCTCATACTATGTCTGATGATGTGGATTCTTGAAACCAGCATACCTCTTCCCACAACAAGAACTATAACTGCATCAGCAAATACTATGTTGACCCCCCCATGTTGTACCCGAACTTAGAACATTACTAATTTTGCTCATTTTTCGCTAATTTATTAAATTCTTATATATCACACTTAATAAACAGTTAATAAATTAATAATAAAAAGTACAAACCCTAGTTCAGAGAATGTTGAGACCCCTGTGTTGTCACAGTAGTGCAGGTAAGAGTATAAGAGTTGATTGAGACATTGAGACATAGAGAGTAGGGAGGAGAAACTTCATTGTAGTCAGACAAAGAAAGCCTGTAATGTTTGTTTAATGAAATGTAACAGGCTATAGCAGATTTGAAGGGGTAAAGTCTTAAATTACTAAATTGTTCTTCTGTGTTCTGTTGTTTAGAATGTTTATTTTTAAAACACATTAATGTACAGTCTTTATGTACAGTACATGTGAAAAGTCACTTAATTTACTTGTAACTATTCTACTTCTTAGATATTGTTTATACAAGTATTAATTGTATCCTCTTGTCTACTGTCCACACAACATTGCCTGCTGAACGAAATAACATGCATCAGAAGCTTGTGATTATCTTCAAAGCAGCTTTTCATACTGCTCCTATGGAAGCTAGTTTTTGTTGTATTTCCTGGTCACTTCTATTATTGTGCAAGTTTTGTAGCTCCGCCCAAATCAAACCTCTCTGATGGTGAACAGCAGTTGTCCCAAGCTGGATTTCAGATTGCAGTCTATTCTCGGAACTGAATTCATGTTAATGTACGACAGCTGAAATGGGGATGACCACTAATGTCTTCTCCATGTGCCATTTGAAGAATTGTGTTCATATTTATTTCAGGAAAAACAGAACAATTTATTTATCAATATTTTTGGAGGAGACAAATATGTCTCTTAAATACTCCTTTTAAGTTTCAGAGAGTAGATAAGGTCTAATACAGAAACAGCTAATTCTCAAAACCCCTGTTTGGAATGGCACTCTCATATTTAGCATTATACTGTGTATTGTTACAGATTAAAATCAAGACCTTTGTCAGACAAGATATTACTAGTATATGAATATGTGATGTTTTTAATAATGTAATTGTTAATCGAGTAAAAAAGCTTCAGCATTTTTTTAGATCCAATGCTGAACATATCATCATATAATAAAGCGTTCTGCACTTCTGATTGCTGCCTGTATTCATTATGAAAAATTCATGAAGTGTAAAAATTATAGAACATTTTTGGATGAATGCAATAAAGCCATAATACATTTTTAAATACAGTTGTCAATACTGAACCCAATGCGATGTTATTTAATGCACCCAAAATATATATACAATTCATACCTATATTCAGTCATGTCAGCCCTTTACCTTTGAGAATACTGAACTTTGTACACAACTGTCACAGCAACAGTAAATAATTCACAATACAGACTTGTTGACATGTACATGTGACACTATGCCTCTGTTCATTCATTCCTTAAATTCTGGCTGCTGTCAGACTGAATGACAAATGACAGTGAGACTGTTACCTAGACATTAGTGTAATATTAGATAATTGTGCATTAGATGATTGCACAAGATCTTTCTGAAAATTGAGACAAAACATGATGAGCACACTTGAAAGTTTTGTGATTTTTGCAGTCTTTGAAATATAATCTATGGTGGCAGCATATCCTGGAGAGTGTGAAAAGAATGTGCACTGTTGTCTTTGTTATCTTTCAAAGCATTATCTTTTCTGTTGGAAAAAAAAAAGGCATTGGTCCAAAAATGATTGGGAATATATGGTATAGACTCTTCCGATCCACAGGGTGTATTGCCCAAAATAATTGAGGAAGAAGTAACCAGAAATTCGAATTCTAGTCCTAATGCATAGCTTGAGAATGTCGTGGTTTTCTTCTTTTTAAAGTGGGCCTTCATGGAATTAGGCAAAAATAAAAAAAGACTTTCCTAAAGCAATCTGTTGATACTGGTAAAACAAAACTTTTTTTGTTCAGAAATAATACCATGGGTATCACCTCATTCCTCTCTAAATAAACTTATGTGAGTCTTAATAAAATAATAAATTAGTAAATGGTTATGCAGGGGAATCAGAACATTATCATGAAATGTTGTCAGGGCTTATTTTGTAGTCTTTAGTTTCCTAAGCAATGTATTTGTACAAAAATGTTTTTTTAAGGGAAAATGCTGCTTTAGTTCATTTATAGTAAGGGTTAAGTGACAGGTATTTTCTTAGAACATAATTGGATTATCTATCACAGTAAAATATAGATTATACTGAGAATTGTGTGATCCAGGTTTGAAAAGCATTTTCTTTGTAATGAGAAGGTCATACCATTCTGTATTGGATTAGCATGCAGGGCATAAAACTAATTGGCACAGGATTTGTGTTTCAAGGAGATCATGACCCAGGTAGCGTTCAGATTTCTGCCTGAATTATCTGTGTCAGAAGGGCGTCTCACAGGGTGTGAAAATAGTTTTTCTGCTCAGCACTGTAACCTTCACAGCAATTCCAAACTCTGTTTTGACGTGGATTTTGTTTTCTCAGAGTTAAATACTAGCATTTTTTTTCTCGTTTCACAGCAGTCCTAGAAAAAAATGGATCCACAGATACTGGAAGAACTTTGTATATTTCTAGATTAATTCTAAATTATTATTATTTATTAACCATTACTTTTATTACTTTATTTAGTTTTAAATATTTATTTTTTTTGTACAAAAGCATAGTGTTTGATTAATTTTCGATAAACTAACATGGTAATTAAAAATGAGTACCATTTTAAGTATATAATTAATTTGAAAATTTTGATTTAATGATATTTATAAATTTGCCAGCCTGGAAATACAGAGTGTGTTGGACCCTACGAGGCAATGTAATCTGACTGCTTGAATGTCGAGATCTTTATTTTACGAAGTTCAGTATTTTGCGATACTAAAATTCAATTTTCCTATTAGCATTTTGCACAACCGAAGCTCCTGCTTTCTTCGTAAAATGAAAACAACGAAAAACTGCCTTAAACGTAAATTTGTTTTCTAATCATCTCTTTTGTTCTTGTCCCAGGGCCGATGTACAAGAGAAAACTGCAAATACCTTCATCCACCAGCACATTTAAAAACCCAGCTAGAAATAAACGGACGAAACAACCTCATCCAGCAGAAGACCGCCGCTGCAATGTTGGCTCAGCAGATGCAGTTCATGATACCAGGCACAGCCATGCAGCCAGTTGTAAGTCATTATGTTCTGTGTCTCTATTGATCCCTAGTGCTTGTGGGGCAAAGGTTTGACATCAGTAGTGTCTTTCACTGTCACACAAACTGTGTACTGTGGTCAGGAACCTGCGTCATAAACGTATCACAGAAGTCTAAATTAACAAGAAACCCATCATAAAAAGAGCCATTCTGCACAGCAGGAGTGCCGCCTCCAGCCAACGTTCTTCAAGAGAGCTTGTCTCGGGGGTAAAACTTTTCTGTTAACTCTGTTGAGAATCTGCCTGGATTTCTGGCTCCTCGCAACGTGGATGAAAAGATTAGAATTGTGTTTCTGTCTGAAAACATGCTTATCTTTCTCAAAGTACCTAAGCTGGGTCTGCAATCTGGGTTGATTTGGGAATGCAGCAAGAGGCTTCTGCTGCCCCCAACTTTCCTGGACAAGCACCAGAGTCTAGAATCAGCAGGAATTCAAGGAGAATCCTGGTCTTTTGCAATGGGATATTAATGAACTAAAATTGCAATATACAGTATGTGAGATGTGTGCTTTAAGCTCAGAAAATGTGTTTTCAATAATGTGTTTACATTTGGTGACTTTGTAAAGAACTGCTGCTATTATAAATGTACTCAGAAGAAAATGCTTATTGATAACGTGCTTAAACTACAGTGGTTGCAATAGTTGAAGCTGCAGCTGGTTTGAGGTCCTGAAATGGCAGTTGTTCAGATTTGGTTTCAGTTTTTCAAAAACCATGTGGAACTCACTATAAAAAGATGTTCAGGAAGCTTTACTTGTGTTCAATAAAGCAGATTACTGTGGGATTTTTTAACATTTATAATTTAAAATCAGCAATGGTAAAAAAAACTGGTAAGTAATCACAGACCTCAAACAGGCACACAATTTAATTCTCCTTCAGAATTCCACTCTTTTTAAGTTTTATTTACTACTTATGAAAACATTTGTCCTCAAGTGATCTTGCATTCAAATACTGCCATTTTCCTTGATGAAAGTATTTGGGATATTAAATATTTAAAACAAATTTTACACAAATATCTCACATGAGTTATCAAGCATTAAACATTTTTTCTTATTATTAATGCCCTGAACTAAATTGCAGTTAATTTTCCAGTTTACTTAAGAATACTTTATTAAATAAAATGTATTACTTATCAGAATCCCCCAGTGATTTCATACAAATTGATTTTTGTCCAACAAAAATTGAAATCTCCAAAGCAATTTTAATTTTAGATTTCTTGAGATGTATTTATTTGAGATTCATTTGGATTTCAACAAGAAACATCAGAACAATAACAAGATACATAGGAAACATTGCAACACATTTAACAGGTCCCCATCACTCCCCAGACTCCACTACAGGCAGTCCTCACCAATCTTTCATTTATTCCAGTGGCAGCTTTGCTCCAGATCCTCAGAGTGACATCACCAGCCTTATTTACTCTGCTTCTGCATCACCATGTCCCTGAAGTATGACAATTATTGTCGTATAGCCAGGCTATGAGGAGGGAGTCAGCACTGTGCTCTCACGTTCTTTGCTGCAGTCAAACCAGCGAGACACATTTTCTGTTGATTTTAAATGATTTCTAAATATAAACACGTGCCTATCATTTCAGAGATTCTAAGTCTCTTGCTGTTCGTGAAAGGACCAGTCTGATTACAGAACTGTTTAGAAAACTGTACTTTTTGACAACAACAGAGTACTAATTTGTACATCAATAGATGGACTGCAGTAAAGAGTTGTTGTTTTTTTTCTTTTTAACAGGCCATTATATGAAGGCCTCATTTTGTAACATGGTTTGGTTCTGACAGGAAGTACAAATATGTACAGCCTCTGAAATAACAGGCACAAGCTGACATTTAGAAATCATTTAAAATTGGCCCCCAGAATGCAATTTTTCTAAAATGATTTCTTTGTATTCAATCATCTGTGGATGCTGAGGGGTAATTAAAAGTATTTAATATTATATTGTGTTAGTATTATAGTATTATGCATACTTTTGTGTATAGATCCCTCTATGTTAGAGGGAGTCTAGGGACCTTCATAGGCATCCAGTATAAATCCTAAAGTTCAGTAAAGTCCATTGCTTTATTTTAAATTAAATAAAACAACCAAATGAAACACTTGCTAAACATATCTATCTGACCCCTGTCAAACCTTCTGGTTTGCTATACCCTAGTGACAAAATCTGACCCTTATGTACACCACACCCTGTGTTTAACCTCTTGTGAAAATGCATATATTGTCAAAACATTATGCCATTTACTATTAGTGTGCACAGTGCAGGCAAAAGTAAACCAAAACCAGTCTTTTTTGATTGTTGTGGTGGCCTCTAGTGGCAAACCAACTATCACTAAATTATTCCGACTGCTGCAATTGCTGCTGTAGGTATTTTCTGAACTCTTTAACAAGTCTGTTAAAAGTACTGTTGCTACAGTGTGATTGCATTTCTAGAAGTGGCTTCTTCTATTATCCAGCTTTTGTCTGTGTGGGTGTGTGGTGGGCGGTGGACCACCAATATATTAGTTTGCATGCTTTTTCCTTACAAATTAAATTAGTGAATTCATTATGATAGGACGGACTGTGTGTTGCCTTTGTTACAGTCATGCAATATCAATTATATTTATACTTTTGTTGACAAATATATTGGTAAATTCAGGCATATTCTTAAGATTACAAAATGCATTACAGAATGTAAGTTATGAATTATGGCCTGAAAATGGTTTAATTTCCTTGAAACATATTTTAATGACATCAACATTCTCCCTCTTGTCCACAGCCCACATTTCCCGTAACCCAAGGTTTAGGAACAAACCCTGGTATTAGCTACGCTCCTTATCTCACCCCTGTGACACCAGGCGTGGGCTTAGTTCCTACAGAAATGCTGCCCAGTACACCGGTCATTGTTCCAGGAAGCCCACCTGTCACAGTGCAAGGCTCTGCCTCCACTCAGAAACTACTGAGGACAGACAAGCTAGAGGTAACTGAACAGCCTGGGAAATATGGAAAATAAACTTGAAAACACATGCCGACGGCAATAAGTGGTACCTTTATGCAAATACGTGCCTAACATACATTGAAGAGTAAAAGAAAAGATAGCTATTTTCAGTTTGATTGTGTACCCAGACTGAAGCTTGGAAGAGATCTGTGTACTTTGGTGCACAGGGTAAACAAAATAAGCACATGCATTTCATGCTAAGTTTTGCCTGTTTTGAGTAAATTAAACTTTTCCGAAGAGAGTTGTGTCCTGAAGCACACAGTGCACATAAAGCTGACGTGTCTTTGAACAAGTTCTTTTTATACTGATTGCTCAAATACACCCTCTGTGAAAGACTTTAACTAGCTAATATTATATATGAAAATAGTTTGTATGATCTCTAATTTACCTTGGTAGGCAAATAGTAGAAGTCTGTTTTTGTAGATCTCATGGCGTCAGAAACATGTAAATCTAAGGCATTTGTAAGCATAAAAATAAGGGATCTGAAGGTTGTACTATATAAAATTAGTCAAGAAAGGTTTGATCCTGCTTTACATTTATGTTTTGTATTTACTGCATTATTATTCTGAATATGTCTAATTCACTTGATAATTAAATATTTTATTTAAATTAAGATGTGAGGGAAAACAAATTATGATTAACAAACCCATTAAGATTATATGCAACTTATGTGGCTCACTTTGCTTTCATTCAATGAATACATCTAGACTTCACAAAAGGCCTGAATGGCTGCATAAATTGGCTTACACTTGTTTAAAATGTACATTTTATTTTATAATCACATTATTTTCAGCATAAAGGATTATGAGCTACTGATTTGTGCTTTAAATTGGAATTTGTCTTAAATTGTTTTCAATACTACTTAATTTTAATTTTATTTTAATGTTAAATCCTTACTTTTAAAATGCAGAAGCTTCTGATCTAACAGACCTGTAAAATATCAACTTTGCACAAACATAACTTAGTGGTGTAAAGCAAAAGCATTCAGTTAGCATAACACATCAACATAGATGATAGAAATTACAGCAATATATAAATATAGGGTCTAAAAGAACAGTCTTGAGGAGGGCTTAGAAGGTGGTCAGCGAAAGTGCACCTGATCTATCTAGGCATCCGGGTCCACTACAGGGATACAAGACAAGGAAAGGCACAGCACAAGGGACAGGATCGTAAGGTGAATTAACAACAAAATGACCAGCAGAAGTAGAGTGGACAGGACTGTAGGGGGTGTAAAAATGAAGAGATGTACAGTAGGATAGGTTCCAGGATCCTAAACTGTATACTGGCAGAGATAGATGGGGTGTGAAGAAAAGGCAGAAAAAGATCTTGTTCAAGAGAACATATGGTGAGCATGTCTGGAAAACCTTCTGCTTAGTGTAGGAAAGGCAGGGATCAAAGATTCCTGGCAGTGGAGGAGAAGGTGATAAAGTCAAGTCAAATAGATTTTGAGAGGTCAGAGAACAGGAGGAGGGTATAGATTAGGTCAAAATTATTTATTTTTAGGTGACGTGAAGACATTCAGGAGAAGGTGACTGATAGGCAAGTTAGAAATCTGCAAAGACCTATCAGTTATAAAATGGGAAATAAAGAAAATTCTCAGCACCTCAGGCATAAAAGTGGCTATGGTAAGAAATAGGAGACTGAATATTTAGAGAAAAAACAAGGGTCCTTGTACTTATCCATGTGGAACACTTGTTTAATGAGGATGAGATGGAAAGAGAGATACACATGGCAATGTCCGGAAGGAGCAGTCAGAACCAACCAAGAACAGTGCCTGAAATACCAATACAAGAGAGTGGATAAGAGGATGGTGTGGTCAACAGTGTCAAAAGCTGCTGAGAGGCAAAGGGGATATAAAATAGTGGAGAGACATGCAGAACATAGAGTGAAAGTACAGAATCTTTCTGGAGAGTAAACTGGATGGAAATCAGACTGGAAATGGTCAAGCAAGGAGTGGTCAGCAGTGGTCAATGTGATGTAAATGCTCAGCTGTTGAATAAAGGCTTGATCAAGAGATATAGAGAAACATTTATAATTCCAGGGATATCTCGATAGTACTGTAGGTTTCTTGAGGACTGGAATTATGCCAGGCTTATAAATTATAAATTATAAAGTAGATCTTGGAGCAGAAGAAAGGCGGAGCCACTTGGAGAGGATGAGTAAGGTTTTAGAGGACTGAGAGAGTAGAAAGTAGAAAAGGAAAAGCGAGATTACAATGACTATCATCCAGTTAAAATGGACAGAAGCTTACTGATCTGTTAATTCATTTTTCTGCACACATTTAATAAACATTTAATGTTCTATATTGTGTCAGAACATTTATGGTATTTTTTAACATTTGATCTCCTGGGAAAGTGACTGCTTATTTTTACGCTGATTTATTATTACCTACCTGATTATGTTTTTGTATTTGTGTGTCTGCTTGTGCTCGTTTGTGTTTGTTCTGTGCTTATGGTGTATGTCTAGGTCTGCCGGGAGTTTCAGCGTGGAAACTGTGCGAGAGGGGAGACCGACTGTCGCTTCGCTCACCCCAGCGACAGCGCCATGATTGACACCAGTGACAATACCGTAACGGTGTGCATGGATTACATCAAGAGCCGCTGCTCAAGAGAGAAGTGCAAATACTTCCACCCTCCTGCACACCTACAGGCCAAAATCAAAGCTGCGCAGCACCAAGCCAACCAGGCTGCAGTGGCAGCACAGGCAGCAGCGGCAGCCATGGTAAGCCCCAGCACATCCGCAAGGACATTAGCAAGGCAGGGTCGCGTGGCTCACGGGCCATATAGCAGGACTGGAATGATAAATGGAAGAGTGGTGCACAGTTGTCTAGAATATGGCTCAGCCTGTGCCTCAGAGTATATCAGATTTAAAAAAACAGAGTAATGCTTTGTTTGAATGTTGCTGCATAATCCCTTTATAACTGCTACACTAGACATTCTAATCACAAGCATAATGCTCTACAGGGAAATATGACAATGACGCAACTTGTGCATAAGAGATCATGACATTGATTTTATCATCATTTGTAGCTCTTGGTACTTGATGCGATGCTACAGTAGATGTCATTACCTCTTATGCACAACATGTCATTTGCACATGTTTCTATTAAGCATTATAGAATTGATTATAACGTGTTGTGTAGCAGTTATGAAGGGATTATGAAGCCATTATGCTGCAACATTCATATAAAGTCTTACCTAAAACAGGATAATAAAGCAGAGTGTTCTGCTGCAATAATTATTTCGGATAGAGGCGGATGGAGTCTGAATTCCAATACAGTAAACCCTCGGTTTAACAGACTAATGGGGGGAAGTGGTTTCTTTTAGCCCCAAAACACACTATGATATGAAAAAATTGACATAAACTATATAAATGCTTTCTGGATTTGACAACTTATTTTTTGGACAGTTGCAATCAACAAAGTCAGTGAAAATGGTTCATGTGTCTTTTTTATCATATACAGTAAAAGCCCTTTTATTTCATGTTTTGTAAATAATATGTATTTACAGTACAATGTGTTAAATAAACTGTAAAATTCACTAAAGCATATCAAACACAAACATCATAAGCAATAGACCTACCCCTATAGTGCATTGTTGATATTCCTGAATTTTAAACTTGCATAGTATTTACAGTATTTTTACCCTTTTTTACGTTTGCATTTTACAGAGATTTATTTACATATTGTAATTATTGTTATCATTTTAGTTTATTTTTAAATGATCATTTTTTGTTCTGTAACACACACAAGACACAAACAACACCCATCGTAAGCAATATGTTATTGCAAGGAAAATCTGCTGTTTCTAATTTTACAGATAAAATTCCCCCTTAGCAGATTTTGTCTGTTAAATCCAATAAATAGAGGGTTTACTGTTTTTAAAAAGACTAGACCACTTGAACAAAGCAATAAATGATCCACTTTTGCTTGATTTTCCTATGGAGTTATAACCAAAATTCCTGATTGTTTGAACAAACTGACAATCTTTAAACATCACCCTGCTTACAAAAATATTACAGGTGTTTTTAAATTTACATGTACATACAGTAGACCTGCTCAGTAGAAGTTCAGTCATCCAACAAAGAATGTTGTTGTTTTGTTGGTGTTGTATTATTTTAAATAATTTTTGTAGATACTCTAAGGAGAGCAATGTGGAGCACTGTTTTGTACTTACACAGCATTAATGCCCCTTTTATTAATTTTAAAGGGAAGTTCCCTCCAAATTATTTTTTGGCGGGGTGGTTTAATATAAAATGTTATATTTCAACAGTTCACTGCACTTTAAAAGAATTCAGGTGGTTCAAGCTCATTCATAGATATTCACTCAATTTAAAAATATATAAAGTAATAAATGGATAATGGTATATTTTAGTTTCTCATGGTAACAACTTATTTATTTAGAATATTTTTCATCCTGAATTATGTATATAATTTGTTTTGGTGCCCAAGTTTACTTAAGAATAATATTCTGTTTTTATAAACACACTGTAAATAAGGAAAAAAAAAATCTTAATTCCTGAAAATGCATTATACTGGTAGTTCATCTACATGTACATCCAAGTGCAGATAAAAGCAAAGCTATGAGCAATTGTTAAATTCTAGCTGGTTAGCCCAGCTTTACAAGAAATATTTCTTAATAAAGTCTAGTGAGTTATTATTTGGGAAACTTAAAAATTAAAAAGGGTGTTTGGTTTGTATCTCCACCTTAAGTAACCCATTGGAGCTAATTGTATTTCTAGCCACTTTTGCAATGGCTTGTTTAAAATTTCAGTCTACATCATTTGGTGTTTTTCTCCTAAATTCCATGATCCTGGTACGGTGTGCCTGATTTCTGTTCATTAGCACCACAGCTGATCATTGTTTTAATATAGAAGAGACTTTCAAACAAGTTGTGTGTTCTGTTCTCTCTGTGCAACCCTCCGTATTGCAACTGGTATCTTCGACCACTTGCGTGCTGCATTTTTGCTTCTTTTTCACCTGTTTTGTTGCACTTTAGTGCCAGGGCATATTGCCTTTCAAGTATCGGTGGCACATGTTCGGTGGCAAGATTTTCCATTACAAAACATTTAGCATTAAAAAAAACATAAGTAGTTGTTGGGTGCATTATCCCATTCCTGACTGGGCTGCCTCATAGCACTAATAGTGTGGTTGTTGCTGAACACAACAATGTGTAATTGGAACACTGGAGACTAGAGCCAATATCCAGTCCAGATTGATCTAATGCAAGAATGTCCACCCAGCCCTGGTCCTGGAGCGCAGCATCTCTACACACTTTCTAACAGCAGTTAGAACATGCAGAGCTGGGAGAAGCTGTTCAATTATCTCAGTTAAGCCAATAATGAGCCGATGTATTTTGTTAAAAAGTGCCATACAGTACTGACCCTCCAGGACCAGAATTGGACCATCCCTGGTGCCTGTCCCTTGTGTGTATTGTGTAAAGAAATGTACAGAGATAACAAGGGACTTTTGCAATATACTTGAAAGTAAAAGTCTTTTTTACACATTTTTAGGCCAGAGTCTTGAATTTAATATAAAGATGCACCAGATTTTATATTATTTCTTACTCACAAACATCTCTACACAGCTACTGTAAATTCTTTTCACTAAGAGCCAGAGGGAAACCCAAATTGAAGTAAACCAAAACCCTCAGACCTATTTGGTGGGATTTACACTTTGTTTAGACCTACACTTAAAAACTGTTGTGCTTTGCAATACATTGCAGGAAAAATCTTTGTGTTTTTACTTTAACAAGACATGTGTTTCAAACAGTTTTGAACACTATTTCCAGAACTCTGTATTCTGTGAGATGTGACTAAGACTACTGTCCTCTGCATTGTTGCACTGCTGCTTCTCGTTTTGTTTTTTTTGCAGCTTTTGTTGTATTGTTTTGTTATTTGTAGTGTGTATGTTGTCTGCTCTTCTGTCTGTCTTCAGTGTTTTATATTATCCTGGCTTGCCTGAGGTGCACTCAGTTCCCAAGCTTGATAAGCTTAGCATAATAAGCTTTTTGAAGCAATAATGCTTTATAATTTGAACTCTCCATTTTTATTAGCTCAAAATTATTACTCACATCTCTCTCCTGTTTCATCATTGTATTTCCATTTGTGTAAGCAAGAAGTCATTTTGCATGGCCATTTCTGTGTTTTAAAAGGGGAGGGTTATCTTTGACATTGTGTCTTTCTTTCAAAACTGCACAAGGTGTATAATTTGCAGTTTGCCTTTAACAAGATGTACCTACAGGTGACAAAAATGACCCTCTATTCATTTTTTATTCCATGTGTTGTCACTATTATTTTGTCTTTGTTTTGCATATCATTAAAGCATGATGTTAAAAGGAGAGAACTCTATAAAGCTATACAGATACTCTCTTAAATGATCATGCTAGGAAGCAGGCAGCAGACATACAGGTCATGGGCACATACAGTACATGTTTCTGAATAAAGCAGTGTTTTGGATAATAAAGGTCAAGGAATCTGATGAAACTAGAAAAGTTATGATTTAATGTACTTGTAAGCTTCTTTCAAAATTCAGGGCTGTATTTTTCTGACAGTTTTCATTTTAAGATACTTTTATTAATAAAATACAAGATCAGTATAGGAACAAGAATGAAAATATTACACTGTACAAGCAAGAAAAACAGAGCTCCACATTCTTATGAAAAATACGTGTTTGGTTTCATTAAGCAAAGGCAGGATATAGTACTTGCTAATCACAATTTTCAGCGATGAAGCACTATCTCAGTCAGTTAAGCAATTACTCAGAAATACTTGTTGTCCTTCAAATTGCAGGGAACTATAAAATGTGAAGTCTGAATCTCAGATATATGAAATATGCTTGAAATGTCCATCTAATGAAAGTTAGCCTACATTTTACATGACAGAATTTAAACAAACTAAATTAAAACATGCTTTGTATCATAACTTTGGGAAGATGTCAATAGTTTTTAATTCAGCACTTCTTCTAAGGAATGTGTATACATTTCCAGTGTAACTGATGAATGACTGGGCCAAATACCTTTTCTTTTGCCCTTTCAGCCATGATGATTCACTTGCAGAGCAGTCTGGCTTACAAATATCTCAAATTGACCCTCCTGAAAACAATACATGAAAAGTACCTGTTAAGATTCTATGAGCTGAGGACATTCAGCTGGAACCTCCATTGTTTTATATGCAGTGGATGCTGATCTTGACCTTTATACATTACTTCTTAACTCGTAGTGACATCAATGTTTGCCCCGTAATCAGAAGTGTGTTAAAGAAGCAACATGACCTCTGCTCTATTTGTCTCATTACTTATGGCATGACATTACATAAGAGTACATTGTTAACTAATAAAACTTAAAAACCAATATTTGAACAATAAAGTAGTTTAAATCCTAATTATGGTCCAATTATTATTGTTTGTTAGAAGCCCAGTAATCAATTCCATTCAGTCGATGGAAACCAAGTAGTCTCCTGTCAACAGATGGTGCATCCATTGTTATTCAAAAGGTTAAAGGTTGAAACATGACAGTAGTTTTTCCACAGGATTTCACTTTTTTAATTTTCATTGCAGGTCACATCTTCTACATAATATTTAGGGACCACTATGTAGTTTTATGATGAATAAAGATGTCCTTCAATTTGTGTATAAATTATAACAGTCCACATATTTGAGTCCTCGTATTCTGACAAACAATATGATAAAATATAATGTAAATCAGTTGCATTATGAGTGTATCTGGTATTGATAACTAGTACAAAGGCATACATGATTAAGTAACAGTTTAAGAAAAACTTAATTTATTAATTACAGTACTGTGAATTATATATCTTTGAAATTTCTTACGCTTTTAACAAAGGTATCTTAGATGCTTTTTGCTTCCGTACTAATTCAGAACGTAGCAATATGTTTCCTTGAAACAATTTTTTTTGTTTATGTGCATGCCTATTGTTTTGTATGTGGTATACTGCATTCAGATTATTTTGTTTTTTTTTCCTTCTCACCTATCCACAATGCAATGCTGTCCCCATGATGCACCTCTGCTTGCTGTTTACCTGTATGTTAATACGCTTGAATCCCATTGGCCCACTGCCATCATGTGCTCGCTGCCTGCTATTTAAAGACTCAGTCGACTGCCAAAGCAATGAAGCGACCCCTCGAGGCAACTGTAGATCTGGTACTTTGACCTTTCACCTTTTGCTTTGCATGTAGCTTTTTAAATGTACTGTAGCAACTCACAGAATTTAATTTGGCTTTTTTTTAAAGCAATAAGTCTCATCCAGTATTTGTGTATGGAATCATCTACCATCAGTTATTATAAACTAGAGTAATTAACTTCAGCATAACTCTCAGATGCCAGAAGAATTCTCTGTGTTGCTTTATGTTAAAAAAAAAAATAATCATAATACTGCACTTCAGAGAGCAAAGATTATAAGATTTTAGAATGAATGTGATTTAGGTTTCAGTTAATTATAACTAAGTAATTTGTTAAGAATGGAATATTCTATTGTTGTGCAAATAAAATTACTATACCATTGTGAATTTTTTTGTAATTTTGTAAAGTTTCGATAAAAACAAAATTATTTTGCAAATGTCAGACTTGACTGATTGTGACAGTAATTGTATTACATTGTTCTGTTAATGTTACATTCTGATTTAACAGGCTTTCCCACCTGGAGTCCTGCAGCCCCTACCAAAGAGACCAGCACTTGAAAAAAGCAATGGTACCAGCACAGTCTTTAACCCCAGTGTTTTGCACTACCAACAGGCTCTTGCCAATGCACAGTTACAGCAGCCTACAGCATTCATTCCCACAGGTACGCTTGGTTGTTATTTCAATTAATTGAAACCCCTTAAGATGAACAACCTCTGTCAAATTTCATTTTTTTAAATCTGTTCTTGTTGTTGTTGTTGTTGTTAAAGATGTTTTCAGAAGCATGAGGGTGCAAATTATTTTCTTTTTGCCAAGAGCAGAGTAATAAAGTAGGAGATAGCGTATTGCAACAAAGTGAAATAAGGATCTCATGTGTTTCTCTTTTTGTCTGAAGGCTGTTTGCATTCCATGTGGTTTGACAGCCATGCATGGAAGTAATCGTGGGTTTTTATGCAGCAAGAAGAAATGATGGGAAAAAAATCCTTAGAAGCAAACATCTTGCAATACAAGATATAAAGTAGCTTTGAAACATTTATACATTGTTATTTTATTAATTCATATGATGTAGTCTACAATATTATGGCAAGATGCTAACAGTTTTAAACTTTGACCTCCATTGTATGTAATATTATTATCCAATATTCTCCTGCAAGCTGTAATGTATAAGAAGGAAATTTGGTGATCAAAACAGTTTGATTCCTATACAGTATGTGCATTGTAAACCTTTGTAATACATGGCTGATGACAAAAAAAGCCAACTTAATGGACAGATATGTAAATTTGGGTTGTATCCTTGTAAAATGCTTGTAAGCTCTGTAAGCTTCAGATTATGTATCTACAAAAGGTAATTTACAGTACTGGCTTGGTAAATAATGCATTAGCAGCTATCGTCATTAAGTGTTATTAGAAATTTATGCTGTCATACCATATGTACACACTTTGTTTATGTCACTTCTGCATAAAATGTATTCCACATCAAGTGGCATGTTACTTTCTCTTCTTTGTCCTCTAGGTTAAAATAACACCAAAGTGAATATTTAAAGTGATTAAATGGGGGTCATTCACAGTTTATGCCCCTGGCCTGCTTAGATTTCTGTACTGATTTGAATCTAGTGTTTGTTCAGTGAAGAACTTCCTTTTACTGTTATAGCTTCATGCCCATCATGTAATCTAATTCCCAGTAACATAAGTATACAACATGTTTCCCCTCTGCCTATAATTCTGCTAGAAGCTTTACCTTAATGCTGTTACTAATTTTATTCCAGTATCTCTAGAAGTATTTACAAGTGGGCATGTGGAAATGTTGCATGTTTCTGCTCTTAAAGTCACAGTAAATCTGGGGTGAAGTTTATTTGGCATTTTTGTATCTCTTTGTTAATTTCTGGTCATTTGTAGTATTTCCTGAGGTGATCCTCTTCATTTCTGAATTGGCTGGGCGAGCATTCAAGTCTTGCTTAACCCCATGGAGAAAAACGTTCTTACTAGATGCATAAGAAAGACTACAAATGAGCCAAATGGAAACAATTGAAACATTTATCAAATGTAAGGCATGCTTTAAACAAACTTCAGCTAACCTTTTTTCTCCCTTATTAACCTTTATTCACTTCTCACTGCATGATATACAGGGTCAGTGTTGTGCATGACTCCTGCTACCAGCATTGGTAGGTTCCTCCCTTCTTTTTCTGATATCACTTGAAAATGGGAAAGAGAAACATCTCTTACAGTTGTTTTAAAAGAAATGGTGAATGTTGCTCTATCCCAAAAAGTTTCTTTTGTTGAAAAAAATTAAATGTATGTACTTTCAATGAACATTTAAAAGCAATTTGCTTTTTAATGCACCTGTAAGAGAATATTTTTTGAATGATCAGGTTCAGCTTCTGAACAGTTTACCTATCACAGTGTCTTCTGTAACTTTTTTTTTCTATAATGACAGCACCCAAGTGTTTATTGTTATTTTTCTTGTCATGATTGTTATTACAATTATTTTATTTTGTTCTTTTCCTTTGATTGTTCCTTCATTTTCTGCAGGCAGAATCTTACTGTAGCAAAAACATATAAATCACCAGACTAAAATTCCAAGCAGATCAGTTGTTTAATATTAGGTAATTTGCCTTTTGTTGTGCACTGTGTACTAGGAAATTTTATCAGTTTCCCAGAGGATTGTCGGAGTATCACTGAAAACACGTCACAGTTTCTGATAATTGAAGCATCAGCAACTTTAAAATGAATATCAACAGCTTTTGAACATCCTTTTTTTATTATTCTAATATTTGCAGTTATTGAAATGCTATAAAACATACGTTCCTAAAAATTGACTATGACTGATATTTCTAAATATTTGCAAGCTATTTATAACTTCTCTGGGAATCACTGATTATATTGATAAATTTCCTTAATTGTGATTGTAATCAGCTTTCTTCCTCTTTTTTTTATTTTTCTCCCATGCTTTCTTGCTTTGCATTGTGATTGCATGCCATCTGCTGGTCTAACCTAACGATGGCTTGCCGCTATATAATATTCACCATGCAAAAAACAAAATACCACACCTGTTGCCATGGTTACCATAATGCTACACCTACCTTGTCATTGCTTCCATGGTTCCCTTCCTGAAAAAGTACCCATGATGTACAGTGCTACGCCTGCTACTGTCTCTGCAGCAACAACTCCTGCCACAAGTGTCCCCTTCGCAGCAACAGCACCAGCCAATCAGGTTTGCTCCTTTTAAAGCTTTCTTTCATAAATCCCTGAGCTCTAAATAAGGACTGTCGCCTCAAATAACAGTTTGGGACGTCCTGTGTTACTTTTTTTTCTTACTCATTTTTTATGAACATATTTTTTTATAAAATCCAAACGTAACCGTGCTCGTTAATGGGCTTTCAATAATGCGGAGAAAAAAGCACTTATTTAGAGTTCTCACATTTGCAAATAGTAGTTGAGTTGTGTTGCATTACTTCCTTATTTATTTTGCATGTCGTTGTTTTACTTTTTGTTTTAATGTTCCAAGTTTCCCTTTTCATCTGCATTCAGAAAAATGTCTGTCCAGTGTGAAATCAATCTCATACTTTGAATTCCAAATTTCATCTGTAAAAGGAAGGAGGCGTGCCTACCACGCACAGGAAATGTTTTTAGATACCCTCTCCCTTCGGTGGAAGGGTGCTTTCTGAAGGAAGGACTGAGAAGGAATTAGCACTTTTCAGAAACAGGAGCAAAGTTTCCTTCAGGAAAAAGCTAAAAATGGAAGGACCTACTGTATCTGTAATCCACCAGACAGGGCTCTAGTTTCCTGTTTGACCAGGCACTCAGATGGCCAGCCCACAGTGATTCTGATGCCAGGAGCTCCAGTATTTTAACCTCCTTCTCCCAGCAGGCACATCTGCAAATTAAGTGACATAATAAACCCCAGCAACCACACTAAATGAGCGAATACTGACACACACATAATTCACAGTTGATTCACGGCAATTGCACTTTCTTCTTTGAGATTTCTAAAAAAAAGTCTATCGTTGCATATAGCCTTGAAACATGTTTTGATTTCCCATTTTTTACTGTTATAAACACTGCATGCATAACTTTTTTAGATTCCATTTTACTGGTACATTTCTACATGCATTTATTTTTTTGCTTTTATAGTAACAATTGAAACAAACATAACCTACTGTAGAAGAAGATGTCAGAAGAAGTATTAGTACTTGTAAAAATTTAATGGTTTGTTTTACATGGCTGTCATATTTTTTCCTGTAATTAGTGTTTAACTGTAGTATTATTTTTTCTGTAATTAGCGTTAAGCTATAGTCAGTATGTATTATGTATTTTAAGTGTTTTTCAAATGTGCATAATCCATATTACTCATTGATTTCATTTCCTATGCTTAGGTTATAATGATAATTTAATTGATTGTGACTGGCAAGTGTTTAAACTGCATCAACTATATTAGTTTAATAAAATGAAGCTGAAGGATAATATTCTACATGTATATTGTGCAAGTATACCTATTCTAGTTCTTTCTCTATTGCGTGCCATTTCGGTTGTACAAAATAATGCACTGACTTATGTTGCACTCAGGCAAAACTGTAATCAACTGTAGTAGTGATAAAAAACTCTCCATACTTGGAAATTGGATAAACTCACTGCTACCCTACTCTTTCAGAAATACAATACTACTCAAATCTGCTAAATATTAACAGAGGTTTCTTTGTGGAATGGCTCACTGTGTCAATATATAGTTAACTTTGTGGGAAAAACGAAAGTGCTTTAAAAAGGACACTAATTAGACTTTGATAGCAGGACATAGTGTCAGTCACTCCCAACAATGATTTATATAAATTCAGTATTTAGTGTCTGGCATTTCACCTTTTTTTTTCCTTTCGTTTGACAGATTCTATATTCTAGTTAAAAACACTAAAACGAACACTGAGCATTTTGCCGTACCAATCCATACAGCTGTATTTACAGGTGATACAGATCACTGATTCCAGAATCTGTGTAGTGTTCATTTCAGTTCTGCATTTTACCAGTTGATAATGATAATGACTATTATATTAATGCAATTATACATAATAATGATAAAACAATATGTATATTTACATATTGTGTATTATTATAATAATTATAATAAAACTGTGAGTATTACATATTTATTTGATATTATTGCACATTTATCTTCTCCAGTTGTTGAAGGGGACATCCCAACAATATTCTAGTCGACACAACAGAGATGTTTGTAGTTCCATACAGCTTTTAATTATGATAAAATAACAAATAAAAAAACATTAGTTTTTACAGTATACTGTATGTTGTAAAATAAACACACAGTGCTTCTACCTTATATACTTCTCAAAAGCCCATCTTCATAGCTTCCACTGTGTTTGAATGTATAAAGTTAGATGTGCAGTATAGTAATGTATCTATGTATTTTCACTGTTAAATGCCAAATACCAAAAGCTATAGTGTTCATATCACATACTGTAATAAAATACATCTTAATAGCCATGAACAGAAAAGGGCAGCAACACATAATTAATTCAGCAACTTTTTTGATATCACTGGCATATCAGTGCTGATTTGGTAATGTAAGAACATTATCAAATAATCATGAATCACTCAGCTTTAATCTGATTAAAATACTTAAGGGCACAGAACCATCCCATTTAAAGTATTATTCCTTCAGTTAGGTGGAATTCCAGGAAGTGGACACAAAAGGTGCAGATTTAATCTAAATGTAGTTTTGTTCATATAGTACCTGATTGCCATGACTGTGTATTTTTCAGAACGATTGAGCAGTGGTAATAGCAGTGATTTGTTAGTAACATTCTTGTATGAAAACATTTTTTCTTCTATTCCACTAATGTTTGTAAAGCATTTGAACATGAGCAGCACAGTGGTGCAGTGCTTAGCATTGCTGCCTTGTAGCTCTGGAGCCCTGGATTCAGTTCCTGTGGTATTGTCTACATGAAAGAGTTTTATAAGTTCTTCCCATTTTGGAGTGGGTTTCCTCCCACAATCCAAAGACATACTGATACTGTAGGTTAATTGGCTTCTGGGAAATTTGACCCAGGTGTGAGTGTGTGTGCCTTGCAATGGACTAGCATCCCATCCAGGATGTACCCTGCCTTGTGCCCATTACTTGCTGGGATAGGCTCTGGCTCCCCTGTGACCCTGTGTCGGATAAAGCAGTTAAGAAACGGATGGATATGAGTGCTGAGAGTATTAATGTTCTTTCATCATTTTTGTTTTATTTGGATTCACCAGATCTTTCTCCAATTTGTAAGTTAACCAACTTGCTTTACCACTGCAATCTTTGCAATAGCTCAGGAGGAAGGGAAGGTCTTGCATGCATGCCCACTTTTCACATAAACACACATCAGAGCAGAAGTCACATTCACTGGAGGATTAATGCAGTTCTCCACTGTTGTGGCTGTAAGCTCATTGGATCCCAGCAGGTCATACGAATCACTGTTTCACAGCAAGCTGACGACAGTCTGACTGGGTCAAGTACACCTAGTTCCAGCAAAGTGTGCTCTGTTGTGTGCCATCCCTCTAACAACTACAGTAGTTCATGGCTTAACCCTCACCTGGAGTATACCCATTGACTTAATGTGCCTTTACTAGTTGAGCTTCTTGAGAACCACAACCTTACAGCTACATCAGTACAAAGTGGTACAGTATAGGCCTAATTAGTTGTACCTAACCTAATCACCAAGCCACGACCTATTGTTTTTTGTTTACTTCTAGACAGAACAATAGGGATTCAAAATACCCCCCAAAAAATGGTGAGATAATGCAAAACAATCATATTGTGCCTTAATAAAAAATACAGTATAAGCCTGCTGTGAAACCCCAGTATATGTTACACAGTCTGAAACAGAGACACAATAGAATAAAGGGATTTAGAAGTTAGACTGTGCATTGTGGACTTCCCTGGTGTTCATCATGTTCAATATAAATTTTAAACTTCATAAAATCAAGATACACAGAAGGAGAGCAAAATCCAAATGTTACAGACATCATTATGTGAACTCTCAATCACATAATCACATTAGCTTTCTGAGTGTTGTAAGTCATGGAACAACAGATCCATGATATATATTTAATGTACATATTAGAATGATGAACCCGTGACTCCTATTGTTAATTCTGAAGACCCCTATAAGCAGATACAGTATGAACAGTTGGTATTTTGGTATTATGACATTAAATTTTCTGCTTTTTCATGTTACTCTACATAGAAGCAAAAAAAAATATCTTTTGTTGCATGGATGTTGTTTATGCAAGAATAAAATCTATAGCTCTGTTATATATTAACATTAGAAGATCTTGGGTTATACCATTTGATTTGAAACTTCTTTGCAAATGCTTGCCTATACAGACTGTCATAGTGCACAGTGATGTGTCTGAGTGTGAATTTTTTCATTTATAGCTGGGTTCCTCTGGTGGAAAGGTGTATTCCTTAAACTTGTCATTGCATATCAAGATCCTGTAAACTGTAAAGGGGCTCAAACATGTTTCTATTATAAATATAGTTTCACTGTATTTGTGTGTTCTGAGCTTCAGCTTATATGGGTTGTGTGCACAGGTTCCGTTGATAAAAACCACAAAGCATTTATATATATATACTGTCTTTGCATAAAACTTAATCTTGAGGTATTTATGAGCAAAATAATTCAGAGTGAGTTGTGAAATATTTTACTAATGGTTATGGTAGTAAAAGAGTTTGAACCGAACACTTCATTGAACTGTAAGTGCAAACAAAATGATAAATTCACATAGAAATCATAATGTAGAAGCACAAATATTTCCAAAAAGAAATCTGCCATGTATTCAGGTGTTAAATTTTAATAATTACTTTTAGGCCACTTGGGAAACATTTAGGCATTTATTTTATTGTAAACAACATTTTATAAAATGGTGTTTATTTTCATCTCTATAATAAGAACATTAATTTTTTTAGTGTTTCACTTGGGAGAGTAAAATATTTGTTTAGATTTAGTAATATACAGAATTATATTTGTTAGTAAAAAAGGAGTTTATATGAATGTCTGATGATGCACACTCTTGCACTTTTCTGTGCCCTGTTGCAGCTCCCTCTACTGATGTGAAATGAAATTACTGTTACCTTTCCTGCACAATTGGTAGACAAACAATAGCTCTCATTTTACGTGTAGGTTGTGTACATTGAACTCCTGGTTATTCTTCAGGCAATATTTC